TCTTAATATATATAAATTTAGTGTCACAGTTAACGTCCGCGATGGACGCCTAAAATACTGAACCGATTTTAAATTTTATTGGCTCATCTTGTGCATATATATCCAACTTAGGTTATAGGCTATATTTAAAATTTTCGTTCATAGTTGAGATATAAAATTTTTAGAAATTTCAATGAATTTTGACATTTATGAAAAAAAAACAACGTGAAATAGCAGTTGCTAATATTTTTGATTTAAGATTCAGATTGGATTTGCTTACTATGCTAGTTCGGATTATATATATATATATATATATAATATATATATATATATATAGAAATGTAAATAATATCTATTTAAATGAAATAGTCCAGAAATTCAATCCAGTTTCTATTAAATCGTAAATTAAATTTGAACTTAATCGTTTAAACCAGAGTGATAATAAATCACATACAAAATCTCTCGGATCAAATCAAATCTCTAACTTATACCGAAAATAACTCAAACTTAGAGAAAATTGGGGAAATTGGGCACACTAAAAATATTTAAATAGCAACAGTAGTATTTAAAGTGAAATTTGTTAATATTTAATATAAAATTAATATTTACTAAAAATATTTTAATATTTGGTAAAAATAATTAAATAATATCAGTACATATTTCAAGTGAAATTTGTTAATATTTATTATTTTATTTATTTATTTTTTTGTTTTTTTTTTCAGGATGTTCTCACCATTGTCTTCCATAAAACGTTTCGGTCACGTACTTTGGTGTCATCATTCGGTCAGAGGTGTCATGTCAGAATTATGATAAACACATCCTATAAAAAAAAACTTAGAGAAAAAAGTCAGATAAATTTCTATAAAGGATAATATGGCACTCGGTAAGTAATAGTTTATAAATTTATCACTTGACAATATATGTACCTGCTTCAGTAAATAATTTATAACTTCAATTTTGTTGCAAAATTTATAAGTTTTATATTTTTTATATTTTGTACACTATATTAGATATAATATATTAAAAATTCAGTTTTCTAGAATTAAAACAATTTTAAAAAACGGACCTTAAAATATAATGTTGCTTATATAACTTCATCACTAGTAAAAATATGTACCTGCTTCAGTAAATAATTTATAACTTTAATTTTGTTGCAAAATTTGCAAGTTTTATATTTTTTATATTCTGAACACTATATTAGGTATAATAAATAAAAAATTCAGTTTTCTAGAATTAATACATTTTAAGAAACCAGACCTTAAAATATAATATTGCTTATATAAATTTATCCCTAGGGAAAATATGTACCTGCTTCAGTAAATAATTTATAACTTTAATTTTGTTGCAAAATTTAAAGTTTTATATTTTTTATATTTTGTACACTATATTAGGTATAATATATAAAAATTTATTTTCTAGAATTAATACTTTTTAAGAAAACCAGACCTTAAAATATAATATTGCTCATATAAATTTATCACCAGTAAAAATATGTACCTGCTTCAGTAAATAATTTATAACTTTAATTTTGTTGCAAAATTTACAAGTTTTATATTTGTTATATTTTGTACACTATATTAGGTATAATATATTAAAAATTCATTTTTCTATAATTATTACTTTTTTAAGAAAACCAGACATTAAAATTTAATATGACTTATATGAATTTATCACTAGGGAAAATATTTACCTGCTTCGGTAAATGATTAATAACTTTAATTTTCTTGTAAAATTTACAAGTTTTATTTTTTTATATTTTGTTAATTGACTTGTATCTCAACATTGCATTTATTTATTATATCTCTTGTAACTCTTTAATGAAAATCCTGAACATAGATGGAATATTCGACAAATTTGTACAAAATTAAATTGCTCATAATTTTAATTTTTAATTGATTGTTAAAACAGTTATTACTGAAATTTTAGTAGACTCGTTGCGTTTTTGCATTTCTTTTGTATAAATGTTGTAACTTTAATAAATAATTGATTTAATATAAATATGATATACAGCAAATTTGTTCTAAATTGAATAATCTACAATATTTTCTAACATCATACAACCCTACAGCAATTTAGTATACTTTAAAAATGCAATTGAAAATAGACTATCTAAGTGCAATCAGCAATTAGGTCAATCTTATGGGTGCATTTATTAGTTAGTAACGGGGTTGTAACTTTTAAACCAAAAGTCTGTTACACACAAAATATGTGACTAATTTGTACAAAATTAAATTATGTACAATTTTGTCTAACACTATAACGACCTACAGCAACTCGATATACCCCCAAAAAACGCACTCAAAACTCCCAAACAAATACAAACCGTACTACAAAGTTTGCTCAATTTGAACCATCCACAACCTTTTTATCTTAACCAATATAATTTTTATATTTATTATGAATCTCAGAATTTATAAAAATGTTTTTAACCCCTGTCCAAGATACACTATGCCCATAAAAGTGTACTATTAGTAGACAGAGCGATTTCCGTCAAGATAGATCATCGTAGAAGATTACAATGTTTTGGAACGTGACAGGAATTTTGTGTCCTGATTCTGTTGTTATCCTGTTGTACCCTTAGGATATACATGAATAAATAAAATACACCTCTTGGTTGTTAATTTAAATGTATAAAATTGTAAAATAATAAAAATAATAATAGAAATATGAATACAATGATCGGGAAAACATTATTAGTCGGCCGGTTATTCAAGTTGGTTATCTTGATCTTTAGTTGTAAGTTTTTTTAATTTTGTGTGAATATTTAAAGTATAGTATACCGGTTTATTGTAGGGGTTTATATTATAATTCCTTGTTTAGTTCCTAATTAATACTTTTCTTAAACAAAACAAGACATTAAAATAATACAGTCCAAAAATTACTCATTCCCTTCACGTTTAAATACCCATTAAATCGCCCATAAAATATTTTATTATTATAAACAATAAATAAAAACAAATTTAACACTTCAAAATACATTTGTAATTGTTTACATGAAGCACGTGTCAAATAATTATTTTATTAGCCACAATAAAATTATTTATTACCGAAATCAAAATTTTGTCTTTATAAAATTAGGTTCTCATTTTTTTTTTAACAGCGATTTGACAAAGACACAAAGTTTTTTTTAGATAAGATAAAAATTCTAAAGGCACGTGTCCTGTGTGTTATCCTGTTTTTATCTTTCATCAGGACAAACAAATATTTTCTTTGCTGCCAAGTATTTTTTTATTCTGTTTGAAGTGTTTTCTGAGTAAATATTAACATTAGTTAAAAAATAAAATTTGTAATAATCAATATAATTGGTAAACTGAATTTTCAATATGTATCTGAAAAATTAATTATTTTAAAACTTAGAAATTTTATTAAAAAATTAAAGTTATAAATTATTTACTGAAGCAGGTACATACTAGTGATAAATTTATATAAGCAATATTATATTTTAAGCTCTGTTATTTTTAAAAAGTATTAATTCAAGAAAATGAATTTTTAATATATTATACCTAATATAGTGTACAAATATGAAAAATATAAAACTTATAAATTTTGCACCAAAATCAAAGTAATAAATTATTTACCGAAACAGGTACATATTTTCCCTAGTGATAAAATTTATATGAGCAATATAATATTTTAAGCTCTGGTTTTTTTTAAAAAGTATTAATTCTAGAAATATGAACTTTTAATATATTATACCTAATATAGTGTACTAATATGAAAAATATAAAACTTATAAATTTTGTAAACAAAATGAAAGTAATAAATTATTTACCGAAGCAGGTACATATTTTTCTAGTGACTAATTTATATAAGCAATATTATATTTTAAGGTCTGATCTTTTTTAAAAAGTATTAATTCTAGAAAAATGAATTTTTAATATATTATACCTGATATAGTGTACAAAATATAAAAATATAAAACTTATAAATTTTGCAACAAAATTAAAGTTATAAATTATTTACCGAAGCAGGTACATATTTTCCCTAGTGATAAATTTATATAAGCAATATTATATTTTAAGGTCTGGTTTTCTTAAAAAGTATTAATTATAGAAAAATGAATTTTTAATATATTATACCTAATATAGTGTACAAAATATAAAAAATATAAACTTGTAAATTTTTACCACATTTTCCTTTTTTTGCAGATAACCCAAGTTACTTTTCGTCCTTTGGTCTGCCAAGGATGTCCTTGTTCAGACGCAAAAGAAAGGACTCTACTTCCAGCGAATCTTCAGCTGCACCTTCAACTCCTGGATATAATAAAACTAATGCATCTACTGGTAAAATCCTTGAAAAAATATAAATATTTTCACAAATTAATGATAGAATAGAGATAGACCATTAAAAAAAAATTTTTTTTTTTATTTTCCATAAAACATTTTTGTAATTTTGTGCAAATTATTAGGCAACTATTTTTGTTTTTTAATTGAATTCGAAATGAAATGGCGATTGTTAATGTCCTGAAGATAAATTGATTTATGATTTACATTTGATTTGCTCAGATATAACAAGATAGCAAAGATAATGAAAGTTACAGTATTTGTAATAATATGTTTAAAATTTCTCGAATATTTTATTACGGTACGGGAAGTTCCAGCAATTTGCCTTAAGGCACGATGCCATACACCACTAGTTTAATTAACCAATTGACATCATCAAATAACTGGCAAAAATTAATCAATAATTATTAATGAATTACAATATAATAATATAATATTATAATAATTGACAACTAATAATTAATAACTATTAGTATAATCGATAATTTTGTATATTGTTTGTTGTACAACTTTGCTTCCGCCGTTTTTACAATACGTGTTCTTTACAATAATGGCGGCAGCAAAGTTGTACATCTAATATATTCCGATCAAATTTTAGGGTAAACCGAGTTGTTGTAGGACTAAATGATGTTAGACAATATTGTCAGTGATTTAATTTTAAACAAATTTGCCGAAGACATCGTTTATTTTAAATAAACGGTTTAGAATTTACAAGCGATAAAATAAAAATATGCATTTGATATACTAAAACTTAAAGTTTGTTAGGAAACTAGAGTACTTTATACTCAAATTTTTTCGCTCAATTGCAATTTTAAAGTATACCGAGTTGCTTTAGAGTGTGACTATCTTAGACAGTATTTTAGATAATTTAATTTTGTACAAATTTGCCGAATATTTGATCAAAATCAGACTTATCGTTTGAAAGTTACAAGACATTGTATAAATCAATTTACAGTCTGATGGGTGTAATGATGTGTCAAAACGTTTCGCGTCAAATATATCGTGTGGGGTATTATTTGAAAGGTCTCGATGGAATATATTCAAATCTGTAATTGACTGACATGATGAAACAATAGGGTTAGTAGGATATCACGGTAGTAGGATATCACGGGCATTTATTTTTTACCTCATTTTTCAAACATTTATCTATTTTTTTTTAAATTGAATTCGAAATGAAATGAAATGACGATGGTTAATGTTCTGGAGATAAATTGATTTATGATTTATGATTTACATTTAATTTGCTCAGATATAACAATAAGATAGCAAACATAATGACAGTTACAGTATTTGTAATAATATATTTGAATACGTTTGAAATTTCTCGAATATTTCATTACGGTGCGGGAAGTTTTAGCAATTTGCCTTTTGGCACGATGCCATACACTACTAGTTACATTTTTGTTTTTATTCCGCAGAGTATCTCTACGATTCCCACTACCAACCACCAACTTTCTATTCGAGTTCTTCAAGACGACAAAGGGCCCCTTTGGCTCGTTCAGCCCTGGCCCTTTTGACAGGTGGTGAACCCAGGCCAGAAGATAGAGAGCCTGATTCCAGCCTTTGGCCAAATAGCGATCAGGAAAGCAGTGATGGTCGTAGAAGGGCCGGATCTCTCCCTGGACGAAACCGAGGACGCCGACATTCCATCAGTAAGTAGAACAAAACTCATCATAGTTGATGTTATTTACACCGACTTCAGTAAAGCTTTTGACAAAATTGATCATAACTAAATTCTTCTTACTAAATTATCTAAGATTGGTCTTAATTCTTCACTTATTTATTTTTTCAAGAGTTATCTTCATAATCGTAAACAGTTTGTCTATCTTAATGGATTCTTGAGTAACATTGAAAATATCAGTTCTGGTGTTCCTCAGGGATCCATTCTTGGTTCACTGCTATTTATTATTTTTATTAATGACATATCTGATATTATTAGCTGTCCACATTTATTATTTGCAGATGATCTCTAACTATATCTTAAAATAAATTCTATTATTACAATCTCAACTTGACTCTTTCCACTCTTGGTGTGTCTTTAACAAATTGCATTTAAATATATCAAAGTGCAAGATTCTTAGTTTTTCACATAAGCGCGTAAGAATAAGATAGATGTAATAAAATGTAGGATTTAGGAGTTTTATTTGATTCTGGATCATATAACTGATATTTGTAATAGAGCACATAAATCTTTAGGTTTGATACTAAGAAATTGTAAACAATTCAATTCTAACAATGCACTTCTTTGCATGTACTATTCTATTGTAGGTTCAAAATTAGAATATGGTTCCATTATTTGGTATCCTCATCAAATCAACAACTCTGATGCGATAGAGAAGGTTCAGCGAAAATTTCTGAAATATCTTTATTATAAAACATATAAAATTTACCCTGAACGTGGTTTTGAGGGAATGCAATACCGATGGAAAATTTCAATACTGGTATTTCTGTATTTTTTCATTTTAAAACCAGAATACCGGTAAATTACCGGACATTTTTATTATCTTAAACAAACGTAAACAAAATTGAAAGTTACTAGTACAAATATAAAAAATGTATATACAACTACAACTATATTCAACTAGACAATAAAATAAAACAATAAGTTTATTTTTTTAAATAATAATTTAACAAAATTATATCCAATTTAATTCATTCGTTATCAGTATCGAGTATGTTGAGTACTTTTCACCAAAAACAAACTTATGAGTAAGAAAGACCAAAAACTCGTAAAAGGTCATATTACATTATTATAATAAACTGTATTGTCTGTATCCAATGTGTTAAATTAGCATAATTTCCAATATTTAAAAAAAATAATTTTCTACACTAATTTAAGATCGGATTCTTTGTCGAGATAAATAATAAGTTACTATAATTGTTGAGTATTGCTATTTAAAACAATGTGATGCTTCTATAGTATTTTCAAACTTCGAAACGTTTTCGAAAAATAATATTTTATAATTTTAATGAGAAGCAAAAATATTTAGTAATTATCACTATTACTATGTATAAAGTTAGAAAAAATTAAAGCTTCCGCAGGGGTAATTTGTATGATATAAAATATTTTGGCGCAAATGTCACTTAAAAAACCGTTACATTTTTACAAAAGATGAAACATCATAATCTATCAGTCCAGTTCGATTTATTGTAACACGATATGAAGCCCTTTGGAAAGCAATAAATATTCAGTTTAATGACGAGTTGAGATAATATTTGACATTTGTTTATCTTCTAGAATCACTTGAAGATATAGCTGTTTATGCGATTATGGAACTTAAAGATAAATTTGTTCCGAGAAATTTAAACTTTAGTGTATTATGTATCAAATAGCGCTTTTGTAAAAAATACCGATAAAAGCAGTATTTTTGGAATAAATACCGGTAAAATTACCGCCGAAAAATTGAGCGGTTTACCGGTAATTTGGTATACCTTACTAAAAGAATTTGGTATTCCTTCCCTTGCCTCACGTCGATTTATCTGTACTATTATGTTCTTATTTAAACTTTGCAATAATTTTATAGACTGTCCTCTTATTCTTAACCAACTATCATTTAATGTTCACAATTATTTTTCAATTATTCTACTCCTAAATCTAATTCTCTTTTAAATTCGCCTATTTTTACTTATGTCCTCTAACTTTAACTTAATTAATAATGAAATAGATATTCACAACACTTCACCTAATCAAATAATCTCCATCTGCACAAGTTAACATTTTTATTTTCTTTTTAAATATCCCATTATTTTATCTTATTCTGTTTATAAATAATATTGCTACATTCTGCATTATATGTAACTTTATGTTAAGCATTTTATATTAATAACTATAAATATTGTAATTTTGTATATATTTCAATTATTATTCATTATGTAAAATAATTGTATTTTTGAAGTCTCTTGGAAGAAATCTGTGGGCTATATATTTAAAATAAATAAATAAATAAAATAAATAGTTTCTCGATCCCAACTTTAATAACATAAAACAACTTTTTTTTAGGTTCTTTTTCCAAAAATCGAACAACCAGCACTTCGTCTTCAGATTATTTGGTAACTTCAGTGCCGGATGGGGCCCCAAAAAAATCGGCTCCTAGGGTACCAAGAAGCCAGTTGGCCAGGATGATCCAAGACTCAAAGACCACTATTGAAGACCTGCCTTTTCGACAAAGACTTAAGGCAGTGATGGCCAATCATGACCCTAATGGAATTGTGATGAGCAGACCTGATGTTGTACCGAGGGACAGTTTTCGATATCGCCGACCTAGAGGTTAGTAAAAAATATAAAAATTATATATATATATATATATATATATATACATTTTTTTAGTACTTAAATTAATTTTGTTAGTACAACGACTAGTACTATTTTTACCAAAACAAAAACCCCTTTCAATATCGAACGACTCAGAAATCTCGTCTATCAAATAATTGTCTAGATTGTAATTTAATTTACATAGGAGAAACAAGCCAGAACTTGATGAAACGTTTACAACAATATAAAAACGATTCAAAAAATCCGAGACAATTTAAAACTATGATTGCGGAGCATATTTATACTTTAAAACACAATATATATATATATATATATATATATATATATATATATCTTTGCAAATGCTTTTGTCGCTCAAAAAAATTGTGTTACCCACACCCTGAGGATGATATCTCAGCTATTTGTAGTCCGATTTCTAAAATTCCAAAACTGATTAATATGCCTATAAGTCATATCTTGCGATGTCTAATATTATATTAAAATCGGTTAAGCAGTTTTTATATAATTCACCAGAATTTAAACGAACTTTGTTAATATACTGCCAAAGTGTACAGTAACAATTTTTATTGGCTGTCTAATAACTCAGGAATTTGTGGTCCGATTTTAAGAATTTATAAACTATTTATTAACTAAAGATACTATCTTGTGATGTTCAATTTTATATTAAGATCGGTTAAGCAGTTTTTATTTAATTCACCAGAATTTAAATGAACTTTGTCAGTATACTGCCAAAGTGTACATAAACAATTTTTATTGGCTGTCTAATAACTCAGGAATTTTTTGGTCCGATTTTTAAAAATATAAAAACTATTTATTACCTAAAGGTAGTTTCTTGTGATTTTTAATTTTATATTAAGATCAGTCAAGCAGTTTTTGTATAATTCACCTGAATTTAAATGAACTTTGTTCATATACTGCCAAAGTGTACAATAACAATTTCCATTGGCTGTCTAATAACTCAGGAATTTGTGGTCCGATTTTAAAAATTTAAAAACTATTTATTAACTAGAGGTAGTATCTTTAGATGACTAAAATTGTAATAAAATCGGTTAAGCAGTTTTTATATAATTCACCAGAATTTGAATGAACTTTGTTAGTATACTGCCAAAGTGTACAATAATAATTTTTATTGGCTGTCTAATAACTCAGAATTTTGTGATCCGATTTAAAAAATTTAAAAACTATTTATTATCTAGAGGTAGTATCTTGTGATGTTCAATTTTATATTAAGATCGGTTAAGCAGTTTTTATATAATTCACCTGAATTTAAATGAACTCTGTTAGTATACTGCCAAAGTGTACAATAACAATTTTTATTGGCTGTCTAATAACTCAAAATTTGGTCCGATTTTAAAAATTCCATAACTATTTATTAGCTAAAGGTAGTATCTTGTGATTTTAATTTTATATTAAGATCAGTCAAGCCGTTTTTTCACAATTCACAAAGATGTTGAAGAACTTCAATGTAGTAATTCCAGGGTGTCTCATAGATATTTTAATTTGCAGTATAATAATTCAGAAGTTTCTCATCCGATTTCAAAAATTTAAAAACTATTCATTAGCTAAAGTAGTATCTTGTGATGTTTAATTTTATATTAAGATCAGTCAAGCAGTTTCCTCACAATTCACAAAAATGCTGAAGAACTTCATTAAAGTAATTCCAGGGTGTCCCATAGATATTTTAATTTGTAGTATGATAACTCAAAAGTTTCTGATGCGATTTTAAAAATGTAATAACTATTTATTAGCTAAAGGTAGTATCTTGTGATGCTTAATTACAGCACGTTACTGCAAATATTTTTGTTTAAAAAAATTATTGAAAAACATATTTTGAATCGAATCCTAAGGTCTACTAGACATCGCATAATAGAATAATGTTATAAGTGCATTTTTGTGATTTTTTTATATTTTTTCGTAATTTTGCGTAGAAAGATATACATTTTTGCATTTATTATTTTTATACATACTTTAAAGAATATCATACTAAAATTACAATACGTTACTGCGAATATTTTTGTTGAAAAAAAATGGTTGGAAAACATATTTTGAATCGAATCCTAAGGTCTACCAGACATCGCATAATAGAGAAATGTTATAAGTGCATTTTTGTGATTTTTCATATTTTCTCGTAATTTTTGCATAAAAAGGTACTAATTTTTGTATTTATTATTTTTTTATATACTTTAAAGAATAGCATATAAAAATTACAGCACTTTTGTACTAATGTTGCGGACAGGAAAAATTATCAAATTTGACTTATGCACCATGTATGGAGATTTTATTACAAATATTTTAGTTGCACATAATATTATAAAACAAAACCTAACTTAAATTCTTGATATTTAAATCGGTAGGTTTTGTAAACTAATTTATATATTATAAATTTACTTTATATAATCTAATTCTATTTCTAAACGATTTATTCAACAATTTCCTGAGGCAATGATCTCAAAATTCTCTCAAGACAGGATGCAAATACTTATACGAAGCAATTGCCAATTTATCAAATAATTCTTTCTAAATTGGACTTATGGGAATATTTTTGCCAAAACCAGGTCGACATTATTATATAAAGTAAATTCAATTTATTTGATTTAATTAAAAACAATAAGGTAATTGAATTATAACCTACATAGATGGAAAAACCGAAGATTTAAGATATTACTTTCAGTACACTTCTGGTTAAAAGTATGATATTTTTTGAAAATTTTTTGATAGCACCTAATAATGAATTTTATCTACATTATATTAGTTTAATACGAAAAAGTTCTATTTTGATTTAAAAAAAGTAATATTAGTAAAACCAAAAAAGTGCACTATTAATTGCACTATTATTAAAAAAGGCAACTATTTTTTTTTTGAAATTGAATTCGAAATGAAATGACGATTGTTAATGTTCTGGAGATAAATTGATTTATGATTTTCATCTGATTTGCTCAGATACAACAAAAGATAGCAAAAATAATGGAGGTTACAGTATTTGTAATAATATATTTGAAAACGTTTAAAATTTCTCGAATATTTCATTACGGTACGGAAAGTTCCAGCAATTTGCCTTAAGGCACGATGCCATCCACCACTAGTTTTCGTTTTTTTAATTTTTCATATATTTATCACTATTTATCCTGATCCACCTTTTACAAATAGATAAATCTATTTTCGATCGTTTTTTCTAAATCTCCTCCTCGTCAATTTGAAGTGACATGTGACAAAATGCAGTCAGAGTCACTCATGATAATATTTATTTAGGACGAAATAATCACATTAAATTATTATTGTTGTTTTTGCGATTTTGGAACCACTCCAGAGGTTCTCAAACATAGAGAAAACACTTTTGTAAATTTATATTTAACACGAGGTAAAAAAAAATGAAAAGGAAAAAAGTACTAAAAGCAATTGTTTTGTCAGCACAAGCGAATAATTCAAATCGGATGTTTAGTTCTCTCAAAAACTGCATTTTTTTCACATTTAGCTCCGTATCTCCCAAACGACGGGATCTGTCTTTGCCAAAAACTAATCATCATTTTTCCCCATTATTACAAATTGAATGTTTTATGAATTATTTTAATCGGATGCTCGTTTCTCTCAAAAATTTGATTTCTATTTTTCGATATGTAGATACAATTTTTCGTCCACGTTTTCGGGCGCACGGATCAACCGATTTGAATGGTTTAAAAAACATTCGATTCCTATTGATAGGGAGATGTGCTGATTAGTTTTTGGTAAAGGCAGGTCCAACCGTTACGGAGATACGGAGCAAAGAGTGCAGAAAATACAAATCGAGTTTTTGAGAGATAGGAGTATCGGATTTGAATGATCTAAAAAACATTCAATTTGTAATGATTGAGAGAAGAACCCTACTGACGAGCAAATTAAAATATTAGGAGAAAGGACTCTACTGACGAGCAGAATTTTGCTTAAAACGTTTTGATAGAAAAAGGGACTCTACTGATATGCAAATAAAAATATTGTAAGAAAAAGAAACTCTAATGACAAGAATGATGAAAGTATTAGAAAAAAGGGACTCTACTGACGAGCGAATGAAATATTTGGAAAAAAAAACTACTGACGAGCAAATTAAAATGTTGGGACAAACGGACTCTACTGACGAGCAAATGAAAATACAAAAAGGAAAAAAGGACTCTACTGACGAGTAAATGAAAATATTGTAAGAAAAAGAAACTCTACTGACAGGCATAATGAAAATACAAAGAGAAAAGGGGACTCTACTGACGAGCAAATAAAATACGAAGAGAAAAAAGGGGGCTCTACTGACAAGCATAATGAAATATTAGAAAAAAGGACTCTACTGACGAGCAAATAAAAATACAAAGAGGAAAGAGGGACCCTACTGACGAGCAAATAAAATACAAAGAGGAAAAAGGGACTCTACTGACGAGCAAATGAAAATGTTAGGAAAAAGGGACTCTACTAACGAGAAAATGAAAATATTAGGCAAACGGGACTCTACTGACGAGCAACCTGAAGATTTGTAAAATGACAAAGGAGTTGAAGAAACTTTAACAGAAAATAAACTCTACTGACTAACAAATGAAATTTCGACCCGGAAAAATTTGGCAAAGGCAGGCCCAGTCATTTCGAAGATACAGAGCTAAAAAACTTTCTTCTTGTATTGACAAAACAATTGCTTTTGAGGATAAAAAATTAATACATCTTTTTTTATTTTCCATAAAATATTTTTGTAATTTTGGATTAAAAATTCAAAAAATTACCCAGGCTAAGCACAGTCTAAGCGTCACTCTGGTACAAATGTTTACCCAAGTGAGTTTAGACTGTTTACGTACTCGAGCACTTTTCCAATTTTGTGAGAAAAAAAACTATTGAAAAATGTGAAAATGCCGCCAAGCTAAGCACAGTACAAGTGAAAATGTCGCACAGAATTATTTGCAAATGCGTTTAGACTGTGACTATACGGGAGCACATTTTCAATTTTGTGCAAATTAGGCAACTATTTTTTTTTTTGAAATTGAATT